AAGTAATCTATATTTTCAAATATTATTATACCAAATTTTATTTGAATATTCTAAATTGTTAAAAATATAGATCAGTAACATATTTATAGTACCAATACAGACAAATTTGTCTATGTTAGTCTACAATCTAAGAGATACTAGCAAAATTAGAATTTTTAAGGAGTTTGCTCAAAAAATATAAGTACACATATGAAAAATCAAAAAACAAACAAAAATTACTAGTTTTTTTGATTCTCAAGATTTGTACTTCTACAATTCTAGTTTATATTCACATAATCTATAACCCAAAAAACATATTTTCAAGACTATTCCCAAGACTATTTCCAAGACTACTTCAAAGATTACTTTCAAGACTATTCTCAAGGCTATTCTTAAGACTATTTCCAAGACTATTCCCAAGACTACTCCAAAGATTACTCTCAAAACCATTTTCAAGACTATTTCCAAGACTATTCCCAAGACTATTCCCAAGACTATTCTCAAGATTCATATTCACAGGATTCATATCCTCAAGATTTGTATCTTTAAGACTCGTATGATTCATATTTGTACGATTCGTACTCACAAGATTTACAAGACTATTTGCAAGAAATATACTTCTAAAACTCATTGTCTCTTTATTCTTAACATTCATATTTTTTAGCACTAAAAATTAAAATAAATTTTTTATTTATGCTTAATTAGCTACATTTTTTATTTATCTAAATCCTAATACATATATTCGAATACCTCATCTTAAATAAAAGTAGTTCAAGTTTGATCTTTGAACTTGAAAAATAAATATACATCTAATTTTGTAAATTTTCTAAGAAAAATCTTTGCTATTTAAATACTAAATGCTTATACAATGCTGTAATATTGTGAGACTCAAAGAACTCTGAAGCAAATAATCTTAATTAGTTAGACTAATATAAATCATAAAAAAAAAAATCTAAAGATTTTGAATAAGCTATTGAAATCTGTGATTATGTTAAATAAAAGCTTTAAGACTTGAAATTTTTTTTATTAGTATGATCTTGAGTAGAAATTAAATATACATTATATTAAAGTGGTCACTGATTTTACAGGTTATTTAGGTCTGCAACAATTGTTATAGTATTAAATCTATAATACTAATACTAGAAAATTTTGACCTGATATTGAATATTGTGTATATTGAATATTATCCATATGATCCGCAAAATTGTTAGCCACCCTGGTTATATTGCTTTCAAAACCAGATTTGTAATAGTTTATATACTGTAATCCAGAAGCCATAACTTTATTTTAACTAAAAAATCAAATACTCTAAATTGTAGTAGCACAGTAAAGCTATATATATAGTCACAGGATTTTTATTTATTATATGCAATGACTATATAAAGGTTTTTTTTATATTGTTACACCTTTTTATAATCACTTAGATTTCATTTCCTGAAGCTGTGATTATAACGAGATTAGACTGTATTTTTTAAAAAAATAGAACTATAAAGAATAAACAAAAAAGAATTATATAAAAAGTTTTATTAGAGTTGTAGAATCTTAGTATAGTTTTATTTTTTTTAAAAAGTATTTTAAATTACATAAATAATATAAAATTAAATTGATTTAAATAGCTAATTATACAAAAGTCTTTCTATAAACCAAAAGCCAAATAAATTCTAAATATAAAAAAAAAAATATTAAAACACAATAACTAAAGTTAAAACACCAAGCATAATACTGTAATAGAATTTCTTTTTTTATATTTTCTATTAGTTATTATTATATTTATCTATATCTTATAGTTAGTTATTATTTCTTATTATTATTATTTTTTTTTTTTTGGTGTTAAGGTGGCCTCTTGGCCGGCTCCTTTTATTCGGTTATAGTTAACTT